GGTATTTGCCATTCGGTTACTTGATCGCTGGGTTGTTTTAGCAGCTGGTGAACAACAGGCTCCCCGTTTAAGCGATCTTGTAATTGAAACTCCTTTAGGAGAGTGCTATGCTTAGCGCCAAGAAAGGCTAAGACATCGAACGAAAGCTCTCAGCTACTCATATTTTGTCGAATTGCTAACGCGCCTTCAGTGTCTCGGAGTCCGCTCTGAGTTACTCCCCCTCATTGAGCGGCTTGGTCACTGAAGCCCGTGTCTTTTGGGTGGCGGTTCAGCAATTACGAATTCATAATTAGAGTCAATTTTGATTTTCTACCCTGTTGGACGTATATTGTTCATCTGACTCTGGATCGTTGGGTTGTTTTAGCAGCTGGTGAACAACAGGCTCCCCAATTAAGCGATCTGGTTTTGGGTGTCAGTGTGCGCTCTGACAAAAAGGGCTATGGACAATTAGTTGTCGAGTCAAATTAAACAAGAGTAATTGTTCCAAGGAAACTTATTAACTTTAGATAAATTTTGAAAGTTGAATTAGTAAAAGAATATTGTTCTGTCTCTAGCGTACATTTCCGTAGTCGACTACACCGCGTTAGATAGTAGATAAATCTGTCTAATTTTGCGAAAACGTATCCTAATACGTTTAGAGAATCTCACTTAGGTCGAATTCCTCGCGGCGGTAGACTATAAAAGCGCTAACATTACTAATTTTGTAAAATTTCATTTATATTAAGTTAGAAACCGAATCACACTTAGGTAGGATTCATTATAAATTACAAGCGTGTTAATCAAGTAAAGTCTTGTCACTGCGATAACTTCGAACACGAAAATCAAATATATATAAGGAATATCAAATTTAGTTAATATTACAAATGCAAAGTTAACTTTATCATAGATCAGAATTAGATACGGTCCAATATAAAGTACTGACCAGCGAGTCTCATATCATTAAATTCATAATTATCTATTACATATTGTTTAATTTATCAATTTCTATTATTTCTATCATTATTATTATTTCAAGATCTATTTAGTTCTTTATACTAATCAATAATTTATAATTTATATATACTTTTCTTTATTTTGTTGTTATTGTTGTTTGTTAGTTTCATTTCTTATCGTTTATTGAATAAATCTAATTGTTGAAAGATTTTGACCTGTGGATTTCACTCCTTAACCGCACACCACACGAATCCCACAATCTTTATTTGCGAAATCCAGTCGTTTAGGGATAAAAGCCGCTCTTTACCTTTTAGCGCTTGTAACTATCTGTAAGTACAGATAGGTACCTAAGTAGGTACCAGGGACGTTACACATGTTCGGTAAAGCCTTAATCAATATAAGACCTATACGGTGTACGTAAGTTTTGCTGGCTGTTCTTTCTTGATTGATCGGTAAACCATCAATCAAGTGGGGCTAGTAGATAAGCGTAAAAGTTCAAACCCAAAATATTTGCGTATATCGAATAGTTACTGTAGTAGAATATTCTGACACTATTTAACGAATTGAAAATGAAACACCATGTATATGTATTGTATACGATTATAAATTAATCTAAAAGTAATTTAAAATTTATAAAAAAACTTCTCTACATATTTCCTTATGCCTATTTATTATGTAATAAGATGACGTCATTTTGCACTGTCTCGTTTAATACTTTGTTTTTGATGAAGTGATCGTGAGTATTAATTGTAAGCCGAACATTTCTGTACCTTGATTAGCCTTCTAATTGTGTGCTTCAAATAGGTTATCATCTAGTATATATCGATCCGAAATCTTCCTTTCTTGAGATGTACGAATTTCGCGAAACTATATTTTTGTCAGAGTTTGTATATTTACGCTATTATACCTGTGGTTGTTTCTAACCCGCGCATACCTATGTATAACTGAATGTATATTCAAAATACTGTTGAACTATTATATTTAGACATATTTTTACATACGATCGAAGTACAATAAATGTCCTTCTATATAAAGGTTCTAGAAAAATCTCATACATTTGAAATGTATGCAGCTAATTGCTGCAGAGATGTTCAGTAACTATTTTACTTGAAATGATGTAACTGCCTCCATTATTCGAGAATTAGAAGTTTCCTGACTGAACCACATGCGCATATTTCAAGTGATCTCTACGAATCTGTTTTGCTAGTGTTATCTCTCGTTAAAATGAATGAAGGTACGTGGAATAAAATCTAGTCGAAATAGAATATCGATTGCTGTGTTCATTTTGCATCCTATATCGTCTTTGCGGAGTACTATGAATTAAGGATTTTAGTAGATATAATAAATATTTTCTATATCGGTATTACTTCTTAAATTTGATTGTCGTCGACCGAAATAGTATGAAAAACTTTTAGAATAATTTAATTATAAAGTCTATAAACACTATACAGGTCAGCAATACACATGCACAAGAGACATTCGACGTACGATAAGGAACTTCATCTTACTGGTAATTCAAAATCATAATATCAAAAACATTGGCTTTAACTAATTTAATGTGTTAAAATTCCATACTCTACTTTGAACCTACTCGTATGTCTTCTAAAAACCAGTTGAAATAAGCATTAGAAATGATAAGTAAACGTACGATCATAAACTTACCTGGATATCTAAGTAAGACAATTGTCTGACAAATCCAGGCGCCGTAAGTTAATCGTATCTGAAAAAATTCTATCTGGTAGTGTAATTAATTTATTGGACTTTAGGCTTAGGTCACCCAATTCCTGTAGTCCTTTAAAAATACGTTTAGGTAGCGTCTCAAAATAATTATGTTTTAGGTCAATTTTAAATAATATTTTGAAGCCCCAAAACAGGTCTTCAGGTATCGTGCTCAAACCGTTGTGATTCAAATATATAATAAATAACTTTGTCAAATTAGCGAAACCCTTTTCTGGAAACGAGATAAAACTGTTAGCACTTGTAGATTTTCCAGTTTTGCAAAAATGTTCTCCGGCAATGTAATTAGATTACTCGAACTCAACTCCAGAGTCGTCAAAGACGCGAGATTATCAAACAACCCAGGTTTCAGTTGTTTATCTGCGACATTGTTTATCTGCAATTTTAACGAGTGCAATTTCGTCAAGGGATCAAATATGTCCGGCTCGAGGTGATTCATCATGCTACCACTCAAAGCAAGTATTCCGAGATCTGGTGTATTATTAAAGATTCCCACAGGTAAACAGAGTTTATTTTATTCCAAAGAAACGGCATAAAGATGTGGTACATCTGCGAATAGGTCGGTGCTCAAATTTGTAAGACCGCTGCTTGATAGCGTGAAGTTTCGCAGGTTTGGAAACCCTTTCAAATGGTTTCTGACGATGGCACCGCTCCAATTATGCAGCTGTAACTCATAGATGTGCTCTTCGTTGAATGTACTCGAAATTTCATTTATGCTCAAGTTCATTGGCAGACCGCATTCCGATATTTCCATAATCTTTATGTGCCTTTTCAAGAATAAATTGAACAAGTAGAATGGGGGCCATTGCGGATAATTTTGACATTTAATCTAAATAATTGAGAATGGTTTTTTATTGAAACGGATAATATTATCTTAGTAATTTGAACTGAACAGTGTTATTATAAGTATTATAGAAATATATGATGAAACACGGACTCTGTCAGGATTGTAACGAAAGGTTGTCACACGTTACATTCTGGTTTGAATAAAATTTTGCACAGGGAAATACCGACTATTCTGATATACTGAAGCTGTTACGTAAGCTGTGTGTCTATCTTTATGTTAGTGCTGCACGTTTAAGCATAGTTCGCGATTTCTGCGAAGCGAGAGTCCAGCTTTGTTGCTTATCAGATTCTTCTTATTTGCTAGCGCGATAGAACTTTCCGAAATTCAAGGCCAACGCGAAGGAGAATTATCGTGCGATAACTTCACTTTGATCTATTCCCATCTTGCGCTTTGATTGATTCGTATTTTTCCTTAATAACTCAAAAACGGAGATTCAAACCCCATTTTTGCAAAGGGAAATCTTGTTTAGAATCACGTCAGCTGCCCCCCATTTCCGGAACTTGCACTAGTTGTGACACACCCTGTCTACGAAAAGCAATGAACAAACTTATTCCACAAACAAAATCCATACACTTCTAATGGCTATAAATACTCTGTAATCGCTGCAGGAATCGTAAATATTGTTATCTTTTTTATTTATCGGGATATCTTCTTCAATGCAACGAATACAATACCCACTCTAGAAATCTAATAATAGAGCTGTTTTGTCGTCAGTATTTCGGAACTATACTTCTACATATATCCAAAACCACCTGTCAGTGATATTGGTATTTCAAACCCTAATGTTGCAGAATATTCAAATGAACTTGTTAAATTTTGAGACTTTTTTCGTTAAAGTAATCCTGACCCTGACAGAACCTTCATTTCTCTTCCTTACTACTGTATCGATTCATGAATTGCAATTTTTCACTACTTAATGTACAATTTTGCAAAAGTGCATAATTTAGTATTTATACTTATATTTACATGAATTCTGTTATACTTAATTCTTTCGACAAGGAAGCCTGAGTTGTTTCCTGTGATGCAGTTCCAAACTGCGTCACCCACTAGTAGGCATGGAAATGTATTTGATTCACTGTATGCAGTGAGAATGATTGACAAAATGATCCAAAACGTGCCAATCATTTGATAAATCCTTATGTAACATCGATACTTTCTGTAACAGAAATTTAGACGATCCCTTGCAAAATTTTGCGTCTTATACGTAAATTCTAAACTGTATTTCTGATTTACGCTAAAGATAGAGGCAAACATGTACACATATATGTTATCAATTTCCGAAAGTTGCAGCCGACATTCATTGTTTATGAAAAAATTACAAATAAAGAAAGATTGAAAAACAAAGATTACATAAATTACTTAAACTGGTCATATTAGGTTAGGTTAAGTTTGTTGGCGGACGAAGGTGCCAGGGGGGCACAAGTCGAATCTCCCACCTCCTCGTGGTGTCTGCTGGGACGGAGGCACTCTGCCCTTTGGCAGCACCGAAGTACTGCATAGAGTGCCCCCCTGGCACCTTCGTCCGCCAACAAACTTAACCTAACCTAATATGACCAAGGGCGAGGGCCTCTGTGCTGACGGGAGAGCGGCGAAGTATGCGTGTGTGTGTGAATGGGAGTGTCGCACTGGCGTAAGAACCTGTTCGATGAAGCGCGAGGCCATACCGACGAAGTCTTCGGACTTCGGCAGGTGCAACCATATCGGACGGGCTCGGGCTGAGAACGGGGGACAACGTTGGTGTTGAATACTGCGTGAAAGAGCCTTGATCGACCTGTCATGGATATTTCCCGCGAGACTAGCCAAGGGAGAAAAAAAAAAAAAAAAAAAAAAAAAAGGTTAGGTTAGGTTAGGTTAGGTTAGGTTAGGTTAGGTTAGGTTGGCGGACGAACTGGTGCCAGGGGGGCACAAGTCGGATCTCCCACCTCCACGTGGTGTCTGCTGGGACGGAGGC